TCGGGTAAACGCCATTGCCCACCTTGATGCCCCAGAGGAAGGCAGGGCACGGGCTCGGGTTTTGGCGTAGGCATCTCCAAGAGTGTCACTCCTTGGAGAGATACATGGGCTGTACATGGAGCTCTTGATTCTCCTTGGCTGGTGCAGAGTAGGGGTGGGGATGAACACCCAAACTTGCACCACCCTAAGTGGCCCTTCAGTCCCTCTCATGCCTGACATATCCCCCCCAAATAGCCAGGGCTATTCAGAGGGGTGTCACGTCTGGGAGCCAGAAGGAAGTGTGCTTAGAGACGCAGGCTGGCTTGGGCAGAGCAGAGCCCTGGGACTAAGACTTACAGAGCAGCCTCTGAGCAGCGGGCACTGTGGCTGGGATGCCCCTTACCCAGGCAGAGACCCCGCCAGCCCTTGCAGCAGCTCCAGAAGTCAAGCCAGCAAGGAATGCTGAGGTTTTGTTGCCCTGGCTTTCAAGAAACTGCTCTAGCCCTTCAGCCAGTGAAGGGAGTGCCTCGTCCTGCATGCAGGGCAGCTTTGCCCCCACCCCTCAGTGCTTTTGACGTGCTCTGGACTGCCTTACAAGGGTTGGTTGGAGCCTTGGAAAGAGTACTCAGGTGTACAAGTTAATGTTTACAAGATTGCAGAGGCTTTTGCAAGTCATGGAAACTGGTGGCTCGCACAATGTGCAGCCCTGCAAATAGCTGGTTGCAGAGAGTACTTTGATGGGCACCAGGAAAGGGTTCTTGGGGGGAGCTCACACTGCTAACATGGACATGTCTCTGTGGGGAGGGGTCCATGCAAAGGGTCGCTGAGCGGACCTCTCTGGAGGCGAGTCTGGCCCTGCTCTAGAACCTGGGACAGCGTCACAGGCGGAGGGTCAAGGCTGGGCAACCTGCTGCTGGCTGGGGCCACTGCAGTGGCCGGCATTTTCCATCTTGGGGGGGGGAGTGGCTGTGGTTCTTTTGAGGCACATTAAAGCCCATTCTGGGTTTTTCACTGCTGTTTTTGTGAGCTTCTTGTGTAAAAATAAGAAAAATGGTAGCAGTTCTGACTGGTGAGTGCTTCGGGGCTGTGAAAACAGGCTTGGAGGTTGCAGCCTCTGGCCAGTGGACCCCAAGGCAAGCAGGAACCCCGGAAGGTGGATTCTGCTCCCAAAGAACGTTTGGGGCCGACCTATCAGGTTGGAGGTGCCCTTGTGGGTCTTTAGTCATATGTGAGGAAATGCCACCCGGAGGGAGGATTTCTCAACAGAAGTGGGTGGGCCTGTCCCTGGGTATAAAGCTCCCGGTCCGGTTGGCGAAAGTCTCCCAAATCAAGGTTACCCTGGACTGCTGAGCACCACCTCCTGCGGCTGCGACAGGTGAGCCTGGAACAAGAGGCGGGCGGTCAGAATCCAGGGTGGGCTTTGGAAACTTCTCCTCTCTCACTCAACCATCCCAGAATTTCACCCTCAAGTTGCTTTTTTGCTTCACCTTTGAGCTTTCCCCATGCAGCCTCAATTAATGGCAAAGGTTGAATTATGTTTTCTCAAACAAGTCTAGAAATTAAGCAATTCAGCAGAAGGAAGGAAGGGAGGGAGGGAGGGAGGGAGGGAAGGAAGGAAGGAAGGAAGGAGAGAGGGAGGAAGAAGAGGGAGGGAAGGAAAGGAGGGAAGAGGGAGGGAGGGCTCTTCTGATCAAGGGGGCTTTTGAAAGTCCCGGGATTCCCCCTCCCCCCCCACCCGCCAAGAGCTCTAAAGGTGACCTCTTTGCTGAGCTGCTCTGATCAACCCTGGGGGTCTCAGGGACCTGGGGGTGCCCCTACGCCTTTTCCCTTGTCTGTCCTCTCTCCCCTTTGCATCCTCCCAGCAGGTGGTGGGGAAATGCGGCCAGGCACCAAGACACACAGACACACACCCCAGGGGCTTCGAGGCCGACTCCTTGGACGGGGAGGGCCTCCGGAAGCTCTGCCTAACGGGGGCAGTGGCTGTTCACCCCTGGCCTTGAGCAGAGGGCCGGCCCCGGCCCCGGCCCCCTCGGTCTCTCCCTCTAAGTCAACTGGCAGGAAGGAGCTATGACGTCGGCAGCCACTATCTTGCCTATCTCCCCACACCTACCTGTGCTGGCATCGCTTTTATTTGCCTACCTCCGGCTTCTCAAGCAACAATGGGGCTCAGGCATCACACAAAGTGAGGTTGGAAATGCAATCCAACAAAGCAACAATTGGCCAATCAACAAACAAAGCCACTTCCAGAACACAGAGCAGCTTCTCGCAGCAGCAGCAGCAGCTAGAGACAAGGCGAAGCCCACCTGAGTGGCTGGGGCCCCCCGCTGGCCTCCAGGTCCTGGCTTGGCGGGCAGGGAGGGGCTGGTGAGCGCCAGTGCTGGGAGGGCTCTGTCGACCTTTTCCCGGAAGCCCCTCGTCGAGTGGCAGTTGCCAGACGGATGGTCCCCATCACCTAAGTCACACTGGGCCTCCTTGGCCAGCTTTTATTGTTCAGGCACCTGTGTTGGGCCACAGCACCACACAATGCCCATTTTTCTCATGCCCCGTCTGTCTGAAGCACAACACGTGAAGCAGAAAACATGCTTTTTACATGTTTATCTTCAGATGTTGCCACTGTGTCTGTGGGCTCCCTCCCCCCAAGTCTCAGGGACTGAGAACACTGAGGAAGACCTTTGCTCCGGACGATCGCTGGCCCGCGATTTGTCTGTTTGTGCTGGCTTAATGGTTACCTTTCAGCTGCCAGCAGCATTGCCACATTCTCCGTTGGGTTGGGACTGGGAAGGCTCAGCTGAGTAGCCAATCCACCCCCCCCCCCCGCCTGGGGCTTGTGGGCGCTGGGCACCATTGCTTTTGTGTTCCAGCATCAAGTGCAGTTGCCCTGTGGGAGACCTCCCACAGCCACTCGCTGACCCCGGGCCCTCCAGGCTGCGTGCGTGTGTCTGACAGCATGGAGGGCTGGGGGAGAATTCCGCCCCACTGGTGGGTGGGAAGGCAGCTTTTCCATCTGGGGCTCCGGGGACCGTGCTCTGGGCAGGCGCACAAAGGAAGGGGGTGTGCATGATGTGCGTAAGGAAGGATGTTCTGGAACAGGGTCAGCCTTTCGAACTGAGGGTCGCTTTGTCTTCGGCCAGGCTTGGCACTGGATTCCGGCACTGACTTTGCACCCCGGAAGGAGATGCCAAGAACCTCCATTTTTGCAGAACATGGTACGGCTGACGCCAAGCAGCGTCACAGCCGAGGCAGCTGGCCATTGTCCAGCATCTGGACCTTTGGCCCTGGGGCAGCTGCCAAATTGGGGGCCCAGGAGGGGAAAAACCCACCCTCCCAGCAGGGTCTTAGGGAACCTTCTGCCCCGTGCCCAGCGAGCTTCTGCCAAACAGGCTCCTGGCGCCTGGCAGAGCGTGGGACCAGGTGCCGAGGCCGCTCGGGCAGGCTGGAATGGCACACACAGAGACTTTGTTTGGCCAGGGTGGGCGGAAGTCCTAACAGGCGGTCTGAATTCTAAAGTGTGTTGTTTGGTGGCCAATAAAAGGCTTATTGTATGCAAAATAGTTTATAAAGCAGCATATGACTTTCTCGAGATGGGCACAGTCTGCCGGAGGCATGCGCCTGTAGAGGGAGCCTGCGGCTGCCTTGCGGAAGGACCGTTCCCCACGGCAAGGTAAGGGCTGGTTGGGAGGCTCATCCTCGCCCGTAAGGAATGAATGGATTGGCTGGGAGCTGCTGGGGACTTGCAGGGGGTCTTGGGAAGAGGGCAAAGGCTGGGTATTGGGAGAAACCCTTCACTTTTGGCATTCTCCATCCTAATTTTGCAGGGCTGCTAGCAACAGGACATCTGTGGTACCAGCTGCTTTAAAATCAGTTGGGCTTATCGTAAGCTACCCAAAACTTGCTTCTCAAGCTATTGTATTTCCGTAACTGCTCATCAGCTTGCATGGCCAGTCAATGCAATGGCTGTGTTGGCGCAGCCGGCAAGGCCCTCTAATGAACATCTGGAGAAGACACGCACTCTCCCACCCGGCATGCAGTCCGATGGCATCATGCTGCTTCTGAGCTTGAGAGCTCATAGAATGTGCCATCGATCTCCAGGCTGCGAGGTGACCCGAGCGTTGCCTTCCTCCCTTCTTGCAGAGAAGAACCTGGAATCTCCACCTGCTGTCTCTGGAGGAAGGGGCCGGGCTATGGGGAGCATCTCGCTCTCTGCCTCTCCCGGGGAGGGTTGGGGCTGCCCCGGAGTGCCAGGCTGCCCAGATCCAGTCCCCACTTCCAGCCCGGCCCAGCAGAGCTACTTAGGCATGCAGGGCTGGGGTGTGCAGCCATGCCCCTCACAGCAATGGGGGAGGCAGGCGAGGGTGGCTTCAGCCCCAGGAGCCTCTGAAGAGGAGCGGAAGATTGTAGTGGGGTCCTCTCTTCCGTGGAGGGGCAGTGCCAAGACGATGCCAGCCTATGGATTTGGTGGCAGCTGCCAAAGAAGCTGTTGAAAACTGCCAGTCCTTGTGTTGTGGTAGCCAGGTCAAGAAAGAGAAGCTGCAGGGGGGCTGCCAGGAGTCTCTGTATTGCTGTAGGGCAGGAGAGCCGTTTCTCTCGGCCTCACCTTATCCGGAACCAGTTGGGAATGGGAGCGCAGGAGAATCCTGGGAGCCAATGGCACACAGATGTTTCTGAAAGCAGGGCTGCCAAGGGCCATGGGGAGGAGAGGTCTAGCCTTTGTCTTTATCACCACCAGGTGGTTTGTGGCAATGCATGAAATAAAACAAGGTAGGAAACAAAGCAAAATAATTAAGAAGCAACTCTTTGCTCAAAGGCCCAACACCCGCACTCGGCACTCGTTTCCAGCAGCCCAAAAGAGGCTCCCTTCAGGCCACCCTCCGACTTCTCTGGCTTAAAGGGAGTGGTGATTGGGGGGGGGGGCAACACAGTGGTTCTCTGCACTCCCACCTGGCAAAACGTGGGAGATTAAGCCTGGGGCCCCGCCCACTCTCTGACCAGATCCGGCACTCTCCTTTCAGGTCTGAGGCGCCATGAAGTGGGAAGGCTTCTACGCCCTGATCATCGGGGTGAACCGCCACTCCACTGCCATCGGCCGCATCTGGCTCTCCGTGGTCTTCATCTTCCGCATCATGGTGCTGGTGGTGGCCGCCGAGAGCGTCTGGGGTGACGAGCAGTCTTCCTTCACCTGCAACACGCAGCAGCCCGGCTGCAAGAACGTCTGCTACGATTACTATTTCCCCATCTCTCACATCCGGCTCTGGGCACTGCAGCTGATCCTGGTGACCACGCCGGCCCTGCTGGTGGCGATGCACGTGGCCTATCAGCAGCACCAGGAAAAAAAGCTCCTGGTGATGACGGGCCACGGGGACACCAAGCACCTGGAGGAAGTCAAGAAGCACAAGATGCGCATTTCTGGCTCGCTGTGGTGGACCTACATCTTCAGCGTCGTCTTCCGCATCCTCTTTGAAGGCATCTTCATGTACATCTTCTACATGATCTACCCTGGCTACCAGATGATCCGCCTGGTCAAGTGCGACGTCTATCCCTGCCCCAACATCGTGGACTGCTTTATCTCTCGGCCCACCGAGAAGACCATCTTCACCGTCTTCATGCTGGCCACCTCTGGCATTTGCATTGTCCTCAACGTGGCCGAAATGGTCCTTCTCATCGTGCGAGCCTGTGCCCGGCGCCTGAGCCGAAGCCACAACCCTTCCTCGGGGAAGGGCTCCTTCCTGGGGCACAAGCTGTCTTCAGAGTACAAGCAGAACGAAATCAACCAGCTGCTGACCGAGCACGACGGCTCCCTCAAGGACATTCTCCGGCGGAACTCGGGGCTGCAGGAGAAGAGTGACCGCTGCTCGGCCTGCTAGAGGCCTCGGGCTGTTGGTGGGTCACTTGGCTCCGTCCGGCCTGATGGGGAGCAGCGGACTCTTCTGGCTAGCTGAGCTGCCTTGTCATGGCTGCCTCAAGCCTTTCTGGGGGAAGTGGGCTACGGCCCTTCCCCATCCCTGCTGTTACCAGGCACCGTCTCACACTTCCCTCCCATCGGCTTACAGCCTCCATAGTTTCGGTGGATTTTGCAGGCACCGGACCGGCCTGCGGAATGCCCTGGTTGCAGCTAGACCAAGCGCAGCAGCTGGTGCTCTGCAACGTGGCTTCTGAAGGCTGCTGCCAGGAAATCCAACTGCAGCCCAGATTGCTGGCTGCATCTTACTGTACCAAAGCAAGTCACAGTATTAAAATGGTTTTATAGGTCCCGCCTTCCGTGGTTTTTCTTTGGGGCTTTCACGTCAGCACATGGAAAGTTGCTTTATCTGAGAGATGTAGATCTTTCTCTGGTTGAATTCCTTGCCAGCCACTCTTTGTTGAAAAGTCTGCCAGGAGGTGGGAGGAATCTTCCCTTTCTGAGTCTGGCTCCAGGCAAAGAGCTCCTGCCAGGAGCCTAAGCAGAAGGGGTGTGTGTGTGTGTGAGGAGAGAGGCAACAGCCAGCAGGACCCTTGACCGGTTGGGTGGGAGCAAGCTGGCTTATTCCAGGTGTCCCCAGCTTGCCAGCCAAAGGAGAGGCTGTGAGTTTTGCAGAGATGGGGCAAAAGGTGCACGCCAGCAGAACAGCCCAACTTCCCAAGGCCCCGCTTGCTGTGGGGCTAGTAGCTGGAGGCCAGCATCCTCCCCCTGCAGAAGGAGGTATAATGAGCCAGGCGAAGTAAAGGCAGAGGAAGCCTAGAATGCCAAAGGCAGCCCAACAAAGCTCTGAGGGCCCCCACGCTTCACTGCTGGAGGAGGAAGGCCAGGGGCTCCCAGCCCCACCGGGGCGACAGACGCTTGAAGCTCTCAGTCAACCAGGGCAGCTGGGCAATTGCGCTGCCTGAGCCTGGTTCCTCTGGAAGGGGCACACTTAGTGCAACTTGTATGACTTGCTTGTCCATGATCGCCCTGGCAGCTTTCCTCGCCCCAAGGGATGCCCAGCCCCTCGTTGGCCTCCACCCTGGCCTGATCCGGCCATCGCTCAGCCCGTCCTTCCTCCCTTCTTGCCCAGGCCTCTGTGTGCTAACTTGTCCCGGATTCAGGCAGGAACAACAGCAGGAACAACAGGAATGTCCATCCTGGGCAGGAATCCCACCTGCTCCGCAGCCACTGCCAGGTGAACCTCAGAGGCACAATGGGCCTCTCCCACAAACACACACCACCCCAGCAACCAGGCTGAGCATCCACCCAGGCTCCTTTCCTGCCGGCCAAGACGCCAAAGCCAGGGCCTCGAAGCAATCTCCTTTTCTGGCAGGGCAGCTGGCTGGGCTCCTGGTACTCCACTCTGCCTGCGTCCCGGGTGCCCTTCTCTCTCGCCCCATGGCCCAGGTGCAGATGGGATGCCTCCTCTGGGCTGTGGCCCTCCGAGGGCCTGGGCCTTCACAGGAATTCCTAGCTTGCACAGACACCCAAATCCACTGGAGGGTGCCAGCCTGGGCAAAGCCAGCCTATGGTTCTGACCACAGCAGCAGCAGCTCTGGAAACTCTGTGAGCTACCGCCCCCTGATGGCCAAAGGGTGAATGGGAGATGAGCACCCCAGATAGTTTCTCCCAGAAACAGAAATCCAGGGCGCTGGCTGCCCACTGGTCTTGACCGCCTCCCGGCTGACCTCTGGGGCCGCAGTACCAAAGCTTTCTCCTCCCTCGCCAGAAAGAGCCAAACCCAGAGAGAGCTTTTGTGCCTTTATTTGAAATGAACGGTTTCCAGAGAGAGACGCAGGAAGGGCAGGGAGCAGGTCTTAACGTCCAGTATATCACAACGCGACAACAAGGCCCGCACCTGGCTCACTGGTGACACGGACACTGCAGGGCTGGGCCAGAACAATGTATATACAGGCTCAACAAACGGCACCACCACCACCACCACCAGCCATAGCTCACATAGACAGGGGGGGACCCGGGTGCAAGGCGGCCTCTGAGCCCCTGGAGGAGCAGCAGCAGGCTGGGACCAGATGTCAGGAGAAGGGGAGGAGGCTAGTGACCCTGCATACAAAAGAATGGGCCCTTGGGAGCCACCCTCTCCCTCCCTCCCTCCTCCCCTCCCCACGGCCAGAACAGGCAGAGGTCCGGGGCCCTCGATCCAACCTCCAAGTCAAGAAGCGGCCTGCGACCCCTTCCCTGCCAGTCCGGAGAGAGGCCAGCCAAGGAGGGAGCCACGAGAAGCGTGGGGAGGACGGAGGCACCAGGGGCCCATTCGCCAAGATGGAAGAGGCAGCGGCCGAGTCCTCTGTGCCTGCCCACCCAGAAAGGGAAGGGCTGACGGTCAAGCTGTCCCCGGTCCCTGCAGCTGGGGGGGAGGGAGCAGCACCGGAGCCCACCTTCTCTCGCAGCGAGGGCAGTCTGGGTCAGTCCATGTCATCATCCAGGCCTCCAGCCCCGCGGCTGGGCTCCTCGTAGATCTCACGGACGGCCAGGATGCGGTTCAGCATGCTCTCCAGCATGCTCTTGTCCATGGGGATGACCGAGTACCACAGTGGGGACTCCGCGATGCAGGAGCGCTCCGGCTGCAGGTAGAAGACGTCGTTGCGGCTGCGGAGGCTCTCGGGGCTGCAAGCCAAAGGAGGAGAGGCTGGGGTCAGAAGAGTGGCCTGGGCCTGGGTGGGCCGCTTGAGGGAGCCACACCCCTCGGGGTCCTCCTGCCCCACTGTGGAAAAGCCACAACCGGCACCCTCCGCTTCCCCCTCCCCCAGCCCAGCCCCTCACCATTTGGAGAGATAGAACTCGTAGAACTTGACCGGGCAGCGCAAGGGGTTCAAGCGGTTCTCCCGCTGCTCCAAGACCGGCGTCTCCTCCTCTCGCCTCCGCTTGCCGAGGCTGCTCTCTGCGTGGAGGGGCGGCAGAGACACAGGGTTGAGCGGGGGTGGGAGCCGGGGCCGGGGCCGGGGCCGGGGCCGGGGGGGGAAAGCAGAAGCCGGTGTCCCTACCTCGGCCCTTCCGGTGCCGCACGGGCGTGTAGTAGCGGATGCTGATGACTTTGGCCGCGCCCCGCGGCATGGTGCACTTGCGCGACTGCCGCACCACGTTGGTGAAGGAGAGCTGCATGTGCTCCTCGGCCGTTTGCAGCCCGAAGAACTTGGTGTTGAAGAACATCAGGGTGTTGAGCAGCACAAACGGGGAGTAGACACCCAGCTGCTTGCACTCCCAGAGGTGCTCCTCTTCCACGCGGGAGAAGACCGTGTCTGCAAAGGCACAGGACACAGCGAGCAGTGAGGGGGGGGAGGGGGCCTGGGCTCAAAACCGGACTGGCAGGGGGGCCTGGGCTCCAGAGAGCCTTGAGCAGCCTGATGCCCCTAGCGGAGCAGAAGCCGAGGTCACAGGAAGAGGCAGCTGGCGTGCCTGCCTGTGCTACACGCGCTGGGAATCCCACCCCCATCATCCTAAGCCTTTGGAGCCTCCCAACTGGCAGCATTTCGGTCCCAGAACAGCACTGGGGAAATTTGCGGGACGTCAGAAGAAGCCTTCCCAAAGCTCTCTGCCTTTCAAATTTGAAATGGCTTACACAGAATAACGCTCAATGCTCTCCAGCGTCTCAAACCGGAGATCTTCACCCCCCTCAAGGCTGCCTTATCTGAGGATGCAGCTGAAAAACTCATCAATCCAGGCCTGCGGGGAGACCTGGCCAACCCCAGCCTAGAGGGCCGGTCCCTTCAGCAGCCTTGGCCTCTCCGGGAGCCCCCCCCCCGCCTCCGTCCCAGCAGACACTCACTGTTGGGCAGGACCGTGGGCTGCCAGCCGCTCAGCATCTTGTTGAGCTCTTGCACAAAAGTCAGGTAATAGAGGTCGGTGAAGATGTTGACCATGCGGTTGTTCTCCAACAGGTACTGGAAAAGGCGAAGGGCCACAGGGTCAAGGAAGCCGCCCCCCCACGTGCCTCTCGCGGGGTCCTCCTTCCAAGGACAGAGGATCTCCGGGGCCAGCAGAAACCTCCTCTCCGAGGTCCCCCCCCAATGCTGCTCTGAGGGCTGCTGAGCCTCTCGTGGCCGTGGTGAGGCAGCGGCTTCTTTTTCACCCCACAGAAATGCAAAAAACGCCCCCCCCCCCCGAGAAGAGGCCAGTCTACAGAGAGGAACCCCAGCCAACAAGAAAGCCTTGTCCGTGGAGAGGGAAGGGCCGGGCTGAGGCGGGACCCCTCACCTGCTGGATTCCCAGACACAGGTAGTAGATGCTGTCCGGCTCGTAGCGCTCCCCGTTGGGCCGGGTGATCTCCTTGACGAACTGGGCCAGGCCGTAGTTCAGCTCGGCTGCCGTGCAGGCCAGGATGTCCTCCTTGATCCGAATGGGCTTGGCTGCGGGCGGCAACAGGCCAGGCTCACCTGGGAGCAGACGGGGACACCCAAGGGCGGGGCTCACCCCCCCATCCCCCCCAGCTCCCCTATCCACATGTCCCAGACTTACGTCCAAAGCGCAACTCATCGCCCTTGCTGGTCTCAGCACCCACGTACTTGGCCTGCACCCAGCTCTTCCAGGCGTTCACCCCGTAGGAGGAGTTGAGGGCTGAGCCGCTGGGCTGGCTGCTCACCGAGTCCCTGGAGCAGCTCTCCGACAGCACCAGGCGCTTCTGGCCCTGCGGGAGGGGGCAGGGAGGGGGGAAGGGGCTTCTGGTGAAATCAGCACCACGATGGCATCTACTGCCCAGGCCTGCCCAGAGCCCGTGCCATGCCAGGCAGCTGGGGAGAAGCCCAGGCCCTCCTCCTCCTCCTCCTGCAGGCTGTGTCCAAAGGGCCTCCTGCTTTGTTCTAAGTCAGAAAACCTTTTCTCCAGGTATTGCTCAGACTGACAAAACACTACGGGCTGTTTTCCCTCCATGCAACAGACCCGTTGCAGAAGATTCTCCCTGGGGAGACACGACAGAGGGGGGCTAGTTTGCTTCCCGGCATTTTCACGTTTGTCTTTTTAGCTCAGGTGAATTTTTCTTAATATTGTATTTTGATAGGACGTCATGGAGCTTGTGATTACATTAGCAAACTACTTTTCATATCAGAAAGCCAAAAAATCCTTTCGCTAAAAGGAAGGTGACCTCAGCTAACAGCATTTTATCCTCAGCTCCTTTATAAAATGTGCTCCTTCTGGGCCCAGCCGGCCCCTTCCGCAACCAAGAGCCCCCCAACCCGAGGTTAACGCAAGGGTGAGGCTTAGAGAGCCCGTCCAGCTCTTGCCTCGCAAGGCCCCTTTCAGGGGCCATCCCAGCTGGGGCCCACCTTGCGAATCGAGCGAGGCAAGTCGGGATCTGCAGCAACGTCCTCGGGGGCGACCAGGCCGCAGTCGAAGAGAAAGTCCACGCTGGGATGGATGTCCAGGGGGTCTGTGGAGGGACACAGGAGACGCCGTCCTGCCTGCACGCCAGCCTCCCCTCCACCCCAGGGAGATGCCACCCGCTCAAAGTTCTCACGCAGGGAGGTGGGGAGCCTAGCCGGGGGTCTCCCCCCAAGGAAGGGGATGAGACATCAGCAGCCCTTCTTGCCCACTCCTGCCTCCCCCTCCCTCCCCGGGGGCTGCCCTCACTTTTAGGGAAGTCGGCCTCCAGGTCCTGTCCCGGCTCGTCCAGGACGTTCGCCATCTTGACTGCCATGGCCAGCACATCATCCCTGGCCGGCCCAAAGAGGTCACAGTCCTCCAGGAGCCCTTCGGCACTCTGGTTGCTCACCAGGTCTGTGGAGACAGGGGAGAGGACGGCGGGGGGGGGGGAGTTCAGGCCTGTGCTCCACCTTGGGACCCCTGCAAGCATCTGAGTCAGCCGGGTTCTTAAGACCGCCGGATACTCGATGGAGGCAGGGAGGGAGGAGACAAGACCTTTCTTTCCCACGTGCCCCTCAGCCTTCTTCCCCCGAGATTCTTAAGAAGAGCCAGAATGCGTAGATAAAGTGGCAGGAGGGCCCAGGAAGAAGGCTCCCTTCCACCTCTGCCTGCCTTCGTCCACCACTTGCTGGCTGGACAGGAAGCACGTCGGCAGCCCCAAGGCCCCCGAGCCCCAGAAAGCCCCTTTCCTCCTCTCAGCCTCTCGCCCTGCTGCAAATGCCCACAGGGTGCTGGGGTGCAGCTGATCCGTCCCACGCCCAGCTCGCCTTCTTGAGCCCAGGAGGGGTTCTGTTCCTGGCAGAGCAGACCAATTTTGCCCGGGATGCCCCTCCTAACGGCCTATCGGGGCCCCCTGCGGAACCCACCGCACAGGTCTGATGAGGCTTTGTCTAACTCCTCGGCCTCCGCAATCATCTCCGCCATGGCCAGGATGTCGGCTTCCAGGGGATTGGAAGGGATCTTCACCTTCAGCTCCTCGATGGTCTCCACAATCTTCTCTGTACTCTCCAAGGTGGTGGGCAGAAACATTGGCACAGGAACCTGGAAGAGGCGACAGGTCAGAATCCGGCCGGGCAGGGCGGAAGGCAGAGGCTCCAGAGAGAGAGAGAGAGAGAGTCGTACTCACTGGGACCGGCATGGAGAAAGGCACCGGGACTTTCTGGCAATACATGTTCATGGGCACGGGCACGAAGACTGGCACCGGGATGGGCAGCACAATCAGCTGAGGCTTCCAGTCGTCTGTCAGGAAGGAAGGAAGCAATTAGCAGCTCTTCACCCACCTGCCCAACCCCCACCTCCCATCCCGGGACGAGGCGATGCCTCCCTCTTTCCTTCCTCTCAAAGCTGCAAGGGAGAGGGTGAGCTCAACCCCAATCAGGGATCAAGGTGGTTCCAGGAAGGGGGAAACCCACCGGCAGCTCCCTCCCAACCATCCCCTCACCTGTCTGGCAGCCCTTGGACTTCATCTCCGTCTTGCAGGAAACCCCTCGGTTCTGCATGAGGGGCTTGCACATGGCTGCCTTGTTCTTCCGGGGGGTGACCGGCTGAGGGGGCGCGGGGGGAGCTGATGCTGGCGAGGGGGGGGCGGCCTTGGCAGCCTCCTGTAGAGATCCAGACACGACAGGGCTCAGCAACCAGGGTGGAAATCCTTCTTCTGCAATCTTCCCCTGCCCTCCAGGCCTCGGCACGGCACAGAAGCCGGCCCTTTCCCCCAGGCTGCGCAGGGCCTCCTGAGCCAAGCCTGAGCCTCAGAAGCACCCCCCCCCCACTCCTAACCCCGAGCAGTGAGCCTGAGAGACTCACCGCATTGGGCTCTGCTTTTTGGGCAGTGGCAGAGGGCTGCTTGGGCTCCGGGGCCTGACCTGTGCGGAGAAAGAGTTTCCGGGCTGAGGGCTGCAGCTTTCTCCACACCTGCCCTGCCCAGAACGTCAGAGACAGCTGCGTGAGCGCAAGGTTGACCGAGGCGCTCGTCTATCCAAGTGGGCAGCAGGAAGAGAAGCCACCAATGTCCTCATCGAGAAACACGCTGGTGCCCGGGAGACACAGGTCTAAGTCTTGGTGGGTGTATGAAACCACAAGCGGGGGAGGGCTCCCCTAACTAAAGGGAAACGCCGTGATGCAGCCGTCGGATGGACTCCAGAGCTATCCACAGATCATTTCAGCAGGAAAAGATACGATTTCTGCCAGCCCACTGGAGGGCCGGCAGCCGCCCAAACCAAGGCCCAAGAAGAGTTTATGTCTCTGCCCCACGGAAGACTGAGTCTCCTTCCCTGGAGTAGCATGATAGCATTTCTACTAACCTGGAGTAGCATGATAGCGTTTCTACTAACCTGTCACAAAGCAACCCACCAAAGCTCGCATTCACTGAGGAACGTTCCTTTAGGCATTCAAAAACTAATTCTTAGCCTTAGGACAAATAAACATAACTATGCAGAGGCATATACTTTGTGTAATTCATACACCTGCCATCGCTCACTTTCTTACGGCAGAGGAACACAGCAGCCCTTCCTAATTTGGGCAGCCTCCAGATGCGTGGACTTCAACTCCCAAAATTCCTTAGCCAGCACTGCTGGTTCTGAGAACTGTGGATGGTAAAAATCCACACACCTGGGGGCGGGAGGGGGGGGGGACACAGCCCTGGGGGAAAGTTGGTGAGAGAAGCCAGAACAGTAAGCTTTGAGTATATGAAAGGAGCTACCCTTCTTAAAGGCTGTGACCAGCTATCAATCAAAATCCTTAATAATAATAATAAGTATTATTACTGCTAGAAACCCCCAACCCTTGCAAGGTGCCTTCCTCCTAGAAGAGAAGGAAAGTCAGCTTTCAGCTCCCCCCCCCCTGAACCCCAGGACTGCAAGGGGAGCCGAGCTCCAAAGTGCAGGGATGGCGGTCAAAGCTACTTTCCTCAGTCCCATCGGGTGACGAGCGAGCGGAGGGAACCAGGACAAATAAATGGCCCATTTCATAGACAAGCGGAGAAAGGAACTTATTGTCCACTTAATTTTTCCGGCTGAAATAACATTTGCCCAACACTGGAAAGTGTTACGTACGTTAAGAGCTGAGATGTGGATAAACAAGAGCTTTTCAACCGCTACTTTAGAAAATATTACAAATAAAGTTAAAATTAAAAAGCATCGGAGGCAAGAACCACAGTTCATCAAATTTGGATGGATTTTATATTTTATCTCAGTTATAACAGACTTCTATCAGTAGCATTTTAGATATGTGGTAAACATATGAGTATGTTATGCCACTATCTACTTTCAACCATTTTTAACTCCGTATACCTTTTCTCTGTTTCTTTTTCTCTCTCTCTCTCTATCGTGTATTAGTACCACTCAGTTACTATGTGTGTTAACTACAGTTCAATAAATAGAAGTTAAAAAACAATTAGGTGAACAATGAAGGAAGGGAGAAAGGGCCTTGGAGATCACAGGAGACACCCAGTGCCTTAAAGGTGACAACCAGCACCTTTTCCCAGCACTTACCGGGCAGCCAAATGGCAAACAGGGGGTCACCCAGATACCCCATCCCTGCCCATTGCTGTAGAGAGTAAGAGAGATGACCTGGGTGGAGATTGGCAAGCTCGGCTGCCAAGGCAAGGAGGGGTAAATATATATTTTAGGTCCGCAGCAGACAGATAATATTCGGAAGAGGCTCAGACACCTCTCTACTTCATTGGACTGTGAGGAGGAGGAGGAGGAGGAGGAGGAGGAGGAGGAGGAGGAGGAGGAAGAGGTAGAACATAAGCAGACCTGCAAGAATCCGTTACATAGCCAATCTCAATAAAAGTACTTTAGTTTTTCTGTGGTCTCCCCAGACGCTTCGAAATGCTTTTTAAGAGCAAGCCAAACCAAACCAGTGTGATTAAATAAACGCCACGCAGAACCTAGGAATGGCCACAGCAGGCACACAAAACGCACCACGGAAGAGCCCGCCTGGCCACCTGCCTCTTCAGCAGGAGCGGTGAGTCCCGGAGCCCCAAAGGGTGGACCAGCTCTGAGCAAGGGAGGACAAGAGACACGCTGCCCACCCGCCTCCACCCCGGGATCCTCTGGTCCACGGATCCGAAGTGGAGATCCACTTTGGAGGAACCCAACTGGGTCTGTTTCTCCCTAGGGATACTTTGCCACACAGTCTATTTGATGTGGGGGGATGCCTTTGGCCGCACCCCTCCCGGCAGGTCAGAACCAGAGAGGTGAGCGAGAAAGGGGAGGGCCCCTGGGGGAGTGCCAGCCCACAACCCACCCGCCACGGGGCCAGTGCAGGATCCTTCCTTAGCCCCATTTCCACTCATGCGCCTTCCAAGTCTTGGCTGGCCGAAGCGCCGGCTACTCACTGTTCAGCAGACTCTCGGGCCCTTTCTGGGTGTCCAGGTTGGGCTGGTTCTGTTGGTTGTAAAACCTCAACAGACACTGCTGGTTGCAGAAATGCTTGGTTTGGCCTCGCCAGTGAATCGTCTCCAGCAGCTTCCCCTGCCGCTTGCAAGCGTGGCACCGAGCTGCCTGCCGTGCACCAGAGAGGGAGAGGGGGAGTTAGGCAAAGGCACCAGGCGCAGGGTCTGATCCTCACTGCACCTTCCCACATCTGGCAGAGCTTTCGGCTTTCCTATTATAAACCAAACTTTACTGACATGTTTAGATCCTGAACTGGGCTGAGATGCTAACTTGACCCAGATCACCTGGGGGGCGTCCAGGGCTAGGCTGTCTCGCTCCTGCCCGAGGCCACCAGCCACACCAACGCAACGTGTGGACAGGCAGCAGTCCAACAAATGGCAGAGAGAGAGTGTGTGTGTCACATCTACCAACGCTGGCTTAGGTGGCACAGAAGGCCCACATAAAGGGGAGATTCAAAGGACTGAACGAGCGCCTTAAGCACCTGTGGAAACACCCCCCCCAATGGAAGAAGACGACCTAATTCTCTGGCCCCTGCAGCACCTGGGATGCGGCTTTTGCTCTCTGAAAGGGAATCGGAGACCAGCTGCCGACTGTCATCTCCCAAAGCGGGGAGAGGGTGGACTTGATGCTTTGAAGCTGGCAGAACGATTCTAGATCCTCTGGCTCACTGGCAAGTGGGGGCTTGGGGCCTGGAGAGTGACAGCAGCCTCCCTTCCCTCTGGAACCCCCAAGGCCAGATTCGCCCCCCCCCCCGAGCTTTCCTTCGGGAACGTTTGGGAGAGTTCCGGACAGGAAGCTCAGCCTATTCATAGCCACAGTCCTATAAGAATGCTTATAAGAATGCTTTATGGATTTACCCACTTAGGTCTTCTCAGGGACATTTTAGCCTTTACTGCAAGAAGAGGCAACTACATTTGCCTGACCAGGAGCCTGCTCCCGGGGGCGGCGGACTGGCAGGCCCCCACCCCAAAGAAGGAGCGGGCAGAAGGGCTGCACTGACCTTGTAGTACCAGAGCAGGTATTTGCTTTTGCAGTCGTCGCTGCAGAAGTCCCAGGTGCTGCCCTCCAGCTGCTCGGTGACAGCTCGCTGGCAGGTCTGGGAGCAATAGGTGCAGGTGACGCAGCAAAGGCCCAGGTTCTTGGTGAAATCCTGTTTGTAAAGAAGCACACACCCTGCGGAGAAACAACATGGATGAAAACCTCCCAGGGGGGCGGCCGAGCGGCGACAGGAGCCCATAGCAGGCAGCCACAGAGAGACCAAGCACGACACAGACACACACGCACACCTGACACAGCCCTTCCTGCACTGGCCCCGGGCAACCTAAGGGGTCCCCGTCGCTCACCTCTCCGATCCTAAGGCCGACGTGGCCTCTGGCCCCTGCCCACCGCATGCAACGACCTGCCCTGAGGAGACGGCGGCCGGGGGGACTCCTGCCCTCGGCAACGATCGAGCTCCCCGCCCGGGTACCTTCGCTGCAAAAATTCTTCTCCACTCCCGAGAAGCGGATCTTCTCGTGCAGCAGCTTCTCCTGCTTGCAGTGCTCGCACTGGGACACCACCCCCCGCAGCCGCTTGAAGTCTTCGCAGCAGTCGCGGCAGCAGAACTGGTAGACCTGGTCCTGGCAGAGAGAGCGGGCACCACGCGGGCATCAGGCGGGCACAGGCCCCTGTGGGGCAACTGCAGGTCTCTTGAGCCACAGGAGGCCCAATGAGTGGAGAGCCCCCCCAAACCACCTCTCCCCCTGGGGCAACGTCTCTCGCCTCCTCCCTCCTGCGGCCCCCTCACCTGCCAATCCAGGATCTCGGGCTTCCCAGTGAAGAGGTTGTGGCAGGAATGGCAGGTCAAGTGGATCCCACCTTCCGGGCTGGAGCGCTGCATTTTGAGGAAGGGGACAGATTCAGAAGGGGCACAAGGACCCTGCCCACCGTGGCGGTCCTGCTGTTCCTTGCTGTGCCCCGGGACTGCCGACCCCAGCGCCTCCCAGCCCCTCGCCTGCACCCTGCCCTTCTCACCGCTCAGTTTGACCCCACTCCCCCCCCAGCCCGCATCCCCCTCACCTCCTGCCCACCCCCAGCCCCCCCTTCCCCTCCCAATCCCGTGGCACCAAGAAGGGGCCCCACCAGCAGGCCCCCCTGTGCTGCTGCTGCTGCTGCTGCTCCCGGGAGGGACAGGCTTTGGCCAGGGAGAATGGCAGCCCAAGACCAACTTTCTGCGAGTGGAATAAATTATGCAAATCACACAGGAGGTTAATTTCACTGATTTATTGGATAGCAGACACAAACTCTCTTCGTCATCGGCAGAAGCAAAAACAGTTTTATTTGAGACAAAGACCCCCACGAGAGATTCAACATCATAGATATAGAAAGATCCGTAAGCTACGAATGAGATGTGCAGCCTCGCCCCCCCCCCACTGCCGCCCCCCCACCCCGGTCATTGGCTAGGCTTCTGTGATGTCAGCGGGATCCTGAATGTCTCCACTTTGAGAAGAAGATTCAGTCATGCAAGGCTGCCATGGAGAACAGCGGCTGGGACGACGAGGGGAAACGTGAACTCAGCAAAGGGGAGGGAGGGGAAGCGTGTGGAAGGCGATGGCAGAGCGTGGAGAGGGGTGCGCGCCAAGAACCCAGAAAGCAAGATAGGGAACCTCACACACACACACAGCCTGGGAGGGGGGGGCGTGCCCAGAGGCCCAGGAGGCGGCTCTTTTCCAAGCAGCACCAGAATTTGAGAAGGCAAATCAACACACAGGAAGATTATTCACAATTATCCACTCTGGCGATTCAGACGGAAAGAGGGCTGATGTAAGAAAGGGGGGGGAGAGAGCGCAAAGAGCGAGGGGGCCTCTGCACAGCCTCAGCAGTCCCTAGCCCTTCTGAGCCTTACAGCTATTAGCAGACATCGCCTTCCCTACTCAAAGCTGTCCTCAGCAAACAATGAGAGCTAGAAGCCTTTTTCTTTTCTTTTTAAAGAAATACAACAGCAGAGAGACTTCAGAAGTCTGACAGATGCCCCAGACGGCAGCCGTGCAGAGCACCGAGGCTCCTGGGTCTGGTCCCATCACTGTGACGGCGGCAGAGCCTCCGTATGTACCTGGAATTTGGTCCAGCAGCTGGGGCTGCAGAACTGGTACACCACCTGCTTGTTCTTGTTGTAATAGCAGGGCTCAGATAGGCTCTTCCGGCAAAAACTGCAAGGCCGAAGGGGTCCTAGGGAGAGGAAAGGTATGTGGCAGGGTCAGGCTGGACTCCAGGAGACCCCCCCCACCCGAGTCCGGGGAGGCTTGAGCCTAGACCGGGAAGGAGGAGTCTGCGCTGCAGGGCTGGTCCTCTCTTCCCCCGTGTCCCCCAGCACGTACCCATCCCGGGGGCACGAAACGCATCACCTGGGGCAAAAGAGGGCCCTCCGGGTACCTGTCAGTCCGGCCTGCTTGACCTTGTATGAAGTGGTGCAGCAGACGGAGCAGAAGAGACCCAGCTTGCCGTTCCGGTCTTTGTGGGACAGCATGTCGAAGTTCTTGCAGAGCGTCTTGCACCACATGCACGGGTAGACCCGGGTGTGTTTCTGCAGAGACCCAGGGCAGGGGGGCTGCTGGGCAACTTGCTGGAAGGCCAAGGATCTTTCCCCCCCCTCCCCTCTAATCAACGCCAACCCCCCTGAGGAACTTCCCTGCAAGGCCACCACCTCGCAGCCGGGAGGGGGGGGGAGAGAGCAGGACTAAGTGGCCCCAGGGCACTGGAGGATGCGCGCGACCCTCAGGGCCCTCTCCAGAGAGCTTGGCCAGGGGCCCTGCCCCCCCTTCCGCTATCCTTACCTTCTTGTAGCTGTTGAGGCAGGTGGGGTTGCAGAAGCGCTTCTGCTGCCCCTCGTGGAAGAGGTACTCCAAGGGAACCCCCTTGTTGTACAGGTAAAGGCCGCAGCTGTCGCAGCAGTTGGTCTTCAGCCCTTTGGTGGCCCGGAACTTAGTAAAGCAGGCGTCGCTACAGATGCGGTGCACGACGCTGCCATTGCTCACTTCATGCTGGATCTGAAGGGGAAGCGGCGCTGTCGCAGGCTCGCCAGGTGCCCCCCCCTCCAGCGCCAGGGTAGGGAGTACAGCTAACGGGGGGGGGGAACTACTGCAGCAGCCTTCCCCGGCAAGCTGGCCTCAGAAAGAGGCCTTTGCTCACCTCTCCGGTCTTGTAGCACACGCTGCACCGGACGGAGTCCGAGGTTTCAGCCGCCTGCGTGGTCGGCCGCTGCTGCTGCTGTGCTTCGTACAGCGAGAGGCAAACCGAGGTGCAGAACTCGTAGAAGGAGCTGCCCGAGCCGATCTGGGCCACCACCGAGTCCTTGGTGTTCCAAATCTCCCTGTAGGGAGGAGGACGGCTGTCGTCAGGCCAGGGCCGGGAAGGCTGCTCGCCCCCCCCCCCTGTAGGGGACACAGCAGGCCAGGAGGCTCCCCCCACCATCCGGGGGACTGGGGGGAGGAGGCACGGCAGCCCCAGCAAAGGGCAGAAGTGGGGAAACACCTACTTTTTGCAGAAAGTGCAACTCTTCCGGCTGAGGGGGCGCTTGGAGAAGGTGGTGAGGCAGGTGCTGGAGCAGAAGAGCTGGGGGAGGCCCTTGCGCTGGTAGGCCGTCTGCCCTTTCTGCAGCGGCGTGCGGCAATTGGCGCAGGTCATTTTGGTGACAGTGGAGCGGGCCGCCCGCTGGGCCATCTGACTGCGCAGAGACAGGCGGGTGGGGCGGCGGGTGCGGAAGGGGACGAAGTCCTCATCGTTAGGGTCATCCACCATGGCATCCGAGTCCTCATCGGAGACGGGGACTGCGAGGCGGGAGAGAGGAAGCAGGCGCTCAGCGCTCTCAGCTGGCTGGAAGGGCGGCGGCTCCTCTCCCTTCTGAAACTGAAGCTCCGGGGAGACCCCCAGCGCCCCAAAGAGGCCACCAGAACGGATTGGTCTGATTCTCCCCTCTTAGTGTGTCCTCAGGAAGAGGCAGGATAGAAATGGAAATAAAGGTAACCTAATGACATTCTTTGGTCTGTTATACTTCTAGTTGGATATAAGGAAATCTGAGAAAAATGAGGTTTTATTTATTTGTAGTAATTCACTTAAATGCTTTTCTATTGGCTTCAGGCTGAAGAAAGTGTCCATTCTCACCTTCAGAGTTAGTCCTTTGTTGACGAGACAGAAAGACCGATCGAGGTCTAATTTGTTGTTCAAAAAATTGAACTGCATTTACCTATTGATCCAACAGTATGGTTTAATTGGGCTAAATTGGTTTAACTGGTTTGTTTGTTGGGGTGTTTCTTTTTCTTATCTAGCTATAATTTGTCTTTCCGGTGTGTTCCTGTATATCACAGCAATGGAAATGCTAAACACCTCAGCAAGGAGATTCCAAGTGTTTATTGAATTGGTGGGGGAGAGAGAAGACCTGAACTGCATCTCTGCCCCCCAGCCCCTCTCTGGCAGATGCCTTCCCTGTCTCAAAGGGGTGCAGCTCTGGAAGAAAACCTGCCTGCCCCTCATGGAATCTGCCTCTAGCCTGCAGGGCTCCTGCTGGGTCAGCCTTTCTCTCTCACACGAAGCTATTCTGGGCCAGGCGGCCTCCTTTTTCACGCTCGCTCTGTTCCCCAGTGACCTGCTGTACCATTTGGGAGCCCCCCCCCCCCGTTAGGGTGGACTTACTGCTCTCCGAAGAGTTGACCGTTTCTGGCCGAGACACCTCTGCCCTCCTGGCTCGCTCGCTCCTCTTCTGTTCCTGGAAGGCAGCAGGGAATGGTCACTGCAGCCACGGGGACCGAGCCCAGCCTCCCCATGGAAGGCGACCCACCAGCCCAAGTCGGCCCGTTCACAGGCTCTGAGCTGGGAAGGGGACACGCAGGCCTGGGGACTTCCAATCCCTGCCCCCAAACACAGCCAAGGCCTGAAGGGAGAGACCCAGGCAGGAAGACCAACGCCCAGCTGGCCTCCACCGGCCCCCACCTTACCCTTCCAGCAGGCGTCTCGGCTCCCTTCCCACCAGCACCTTCCCCTGCAAGAGAAGCACAATGGCCACCTGTGATCACAGGTAGAAGGAAGACCCACTACAGGACACGCCACAGCCATGGCAACAAAAAAAAACCCCTGGGGAGGGCGATGTGGGCCAAAGGAGGGGGTTTTAGAAGAGGCCCAGTATTCAGAGAAGAAGCTAGGAGGATCTCTGGATCTGGTCAGCAGGGCATGCAGGAAGAGAAGATCCTGCAAGACCAGATCCTGTAGATCTACCTGGCCGGTCGTGACCTGCCACAAAGCGGCAGAGCAGAGGCCGCCGTAACCCTGGGAGAAGGCTGACCCACCTGCAAGGGAGGGCGGCCCCCCCGTTTCTCGTCCTTTCTCGGCTTCTCTGGGGCCGCTTTCTTTCTTGGCTGCACTCAAACTTCCCTCTGCTCCTTCCAGAAGAGGCAGCGGGGGCGGCACAGACTCAGGAACGCTGTTCGGAGTGGGATCCTTCTCCTCCTCTGCGGGTGTCAAAGCGTTCTCCTTTTGCTCCAGAGAGATCTTCCTGGGGGATTTCAACCGGGGCTTCTTCGCCAGCTGTGGGCTCGGTGGGGGGCTGCCAGGTGAGGCGGTGGCTTCTTGGGAAGGTGGCACGCTGCTCACCTCAACCACCTCAGGGTCCTCCTCGGCGGAGCTGTGTGGAGCGCAGCCTGCGTGCTTGCCGTGACTCTCCTCCTCCATGCCTGCTTTGGACCCCCCTTCTTTCAAAACTTCGAGACCCAGGCGTTCAGTTCCCGGCACAGGGGGGGCTTCGGTCCCATTCTCTGGGTCCCCAGTTCCACATGCCCTGAACAAGCCATCAGGATCCCCAGACTTCTCTAGCACCTCCCGGTCCCCTCCTTTGCTCAAGCTACCCAGGAGGCCAGGCGTCTCCAGAATATCAAGAGTGCTGGGCTTACTGAGGGCCAAACTATTTGACTTGCTTAGGGTGGACAGGTCACCGGCTTTCCCCATGCCAAAGTCCAAGCTACCATCGGACGTTGCTTGCTTAGACACCTCCCACTCCATCTCTTGGGACTGGACAGTCGCTGCTTGTGGGATGGAGGCTGTTTGGGAGGCCAGAAGATCCTCTCCGAACTCCGAGCCCGCAGGGAGATCCCCAATTAGTGGTTTATTGCGTAGAGACAGGGGCCCCAAAGAGGCAGGAAATTCACTGGAATCCATTCAGAGATGTCTAACAACTGAGAATCAGGAAAGGAAAGAGGTCAGTCCTTCTTCACTGGCCTGCAAATCAGCAGTGGGCACAACAAAAAGATTCATCCCAGCACTCTATTTCACGGGGACCTCCCCACCTTCCTTAACTGATACTGAACCCCAGCTGATCTGAAACAGCCTAATGTTCCAAAGCAACTGATCCATGACTCATGCAGAACATTGGAAAAAGCAAGGCTGGGACCAACATGGAGTATCATTTGGAAAAACATTAAAATACTTTGTGTCGATACAACACGCTTAATTGAAGTATTGTATTAACCCTTTTTCTCAGGCTTACAATGCACTGGACTGCAAACCCACCAGAAGAACTAAAACCAATGTTAAGGCCAACCAAGTTTAATGTGTTTCACAAATGCAGATCGTGGTTTATGAAACTGTAAGAATAAGCAATAGAATTAAGCCCATGTTCTATCAGTGGCCCAGCATTAAGCATACCTTTCAAAATAATAGTGTTCATACAATGAACAGGCAGCATTACTCAGTTACTGAACGCCATCCTAGTGCAAAACCAACCCAGGATCTGCCTGATGACCCACTTCCCCAACCAACACAGAAAAGAACACCCGTGCTACGTTAATGCTCTAGACCAGCTTGGCTGGCTCAGGAATTCTGGGAGTTCAAGTCCACGAGTCATAAAAGAGCCAAGGCTGCCTACCCCTGCACTAGACCAAGTGGAGAATTTCCATCATGGTCATCTGTGACAAATTTCACACAAAAGGCAAAGGGGTCTGATGACTTTGTGTGTGAATGGGCCACAGACCATCAACATAGCAACTTTTCAGTCAGAAAAATCTTCACAGGCCCACAGCCATCAACTGAGCCTCTGCCCTCCTTCACTTTTAAATTGAGACCTGAGGTTTGGTGGCCTGGAACAGTCACTTTTTAACAGCTAAATGTAAAAAGTTGCAACTATTTACAGCTACACGCTGCTGTAAGCTGAGCTAATGCTCATCTCAAACCATCCAACTTTGGGGTTAGTAGCACTCAAAAAAGGCCAAACGTTTTTGGGGATTACCACAGGAGTGTTTGGTAAGCAATACAGCCACACAAAGGGAGATTTTGCTGGCTGGTCTCTGGCGGATGGCGCTGGCCATAAGCAGCTATGGGGCAGCTGGGAGGCCAGAGGGCTACAGTGTCTGTCTGGCCACAATTCCTTGATCTGCACCATGAGACCAAGAGAGAACCTGCCTATAGGGCCGGCCTGGGCAGAGTTAGAGTGTGTGGCTTCCATGCCTGAATGTGCAGCAAACATCCGTGTCAAAGACATCCAATTGTCTTTGTCCTTAGCTTTCCATAGCATCCATCATGTCTGGAGTGGGGTGGGAGAGGTTGGCTTGCAGTGCTTCTGCTCCCTCCTAAGTGGGCAGTTCCAATCAAGCTTGTTAGGGGAGGAGAGTTTGCCCTCAGGCAATCCAAATGTGATGTCCACAACCATTGAGGGATGTCACAGGTGGCCTTGGGGTCAGGCACCATCCATATGCTGATCATATCCAGCTTCACATTTACCTCTCTATCCAGGTGAACTAGGACTTTTACCCAGTGCCTGGAGACTGTGAGGGTCTGAAATCTCAGCAATATGGCATTATTATCGATCCAGAAGCCTCTGATCTTCCATAAACATTCATCTATTACTTCACTTGAGGCCTCAATTCTCCTGAAAGAGCAGGTGTACAATCTGGAGAGTTCTCCTGGACTTGTGGTTCAAAAAAGAACAGCAAATAGAGGCTGTGGCCAGGACCTTTGACCAGCTGTAGCTGGTCCACCAGTTACATCCTCGCCTGGAACAGGCGGTGCTGAGGACAGTGGTTTGTCCTCTTGCCCTCTTTCTTACGCTACTGTAATCTGCTTTACCTGGGGCTGCCCTTGAAGGTAACTTGGAAGTGGCAGCTGCTCATTCATTGATTGGCCCTAGGCAGGCCCACCTCTATTTTAAGGGCACTGTGCTGGCTGTTTAGGCTTCTGTCTTAATGCAAGGCCCTGGTGGTTATTTATAAAGCCCCTTATGGCCTCCAGGACCGTCTTTTCCCAGCAGAATCTGCCTGCCACCTGTGGACTGAGAGAGGAGGCTGTAGCTTCCCATTCTCCGAGGGATCATGAGGGTTGGCTGCCAAGAGGACCAGCAGCAGCCTCTCCTTGGGAAGCAGCTTCCCTCCACGGACTGGCTAACTCCCACCCTTTGGATATTCCAGCAGCCCTGTTGGCAGAAGAGAACCTGGGGGGGGGGGGCATTTTTCATATGATGCTTTGTTATACAGTGCAAGCTGCCTCAGGCAGGCAACACACTTTTTCTAAAACACCGGCCCGCACCCCTCCCCATCCACCCCTCCTCACTTTCTTCCCTTCAAGAGCCGGAGGGCGCCCCAGAGCAGGTCCTGCGGGGGCCCAGCCAGGAGAGCGGGATCCTTGGGAATCGACCAAGGCGAAGCCCTCCTGCAGCCCAGCACGGGACCCCCGGCTCCCCCTCTGGGGGCCTCGAGGCAGGACGCGGCCTCCCCTCCTCAAGGGACCCCAAATCTTCCTGCCGCAATCCCGTTTCCGCTCTGAGTCCGGCCGGACTTGAAGACCCCCCCCCCAACCCCTGCTCAACAGGCCGGAGGGATCCCGCTCTGGGGCAGAACGGACCCCCGCCAGGGCTACCCACGCCCCTCCGCCGACCTCCAAGACCCGAAGTCGCCTCGAACGTTGTGCCAAGTCATGGGCTGCTGAAGCCCGGCTTGTTGCACGAGCCGCGACCGGCTGGCTGGACCCGAGCGGGGAGCGCGAGACCTCCCGGGGAAGCATCTGCGGGACCGTCCGCCGCTCCAGGCCTTCGCCGTCCCCGCCCGCCCCGATCGCTCCGCGGCTCAGCCCCGCCGAAATCCCGACCGGGCCTGCGGGACGCGCCGCTCCCCCCTTGCGAGGGGGGCGGGGGGAGGCGAGACCCGAACCTCGGGCGGGACCACCAGCAGATCCGCCTCGCCGCCGCCCGGGACCCCCCTGCAGGGTAGGCCGGCCGGAGCCGCCCCCGCCCCCACTCCAGGGAGGCCATCCCGGCGCCCCTCGCCCCCTGCAGTGCAGGCCGATCCCGCCCGCTGCGACGACGCTGGCCCGGGGGTGGGGNCCCCCGAGTCGTGGCCCCGCCCCTCCCGCGCCCCACCCCCTCCCCTCACGAGGTGTTGCGCCCCCCCCGCCCCTCCCGCGGCGGTCGCCCTCACCTGCCGCTCCCCGACTCCGCCGCGGCGCTCGCCCCGCCGCGCCCGTCCCCGCCGCAGGCGCTGCCGGAGCCCCCGAGGAGCGTGCGGAGGCGGCGGCCCCTTTAAATGGAGGCGCGCTCGGAGCTCTCCGCGCGCCGCAGCCCGAGCAAGGGGGAGGTCGGGGAGGCCGCCCATTGGTCGGGACCCAGGCAGCACTGCGGCCTGATTGGCTGCCGACTCCCGGGCCGTGCGCGCCAATTGGCTGTATCTTCATCGGAGCTCGCGAGACTGGCCGCGGCAGCCCGGCGACACTCAAAACCCGGCGCGGATCACCCTGCTCGCTCGGATCGAGCGGGCAAGGCGGAAAACCCGGAGCGGCAGAACACGGGGCGGAGTCGGGAGAAAGGCGAGCGGGGGGGCTGAAGGGGGGCTGCCTCCCTCACTCCCGCCGTTTCTGCCGCCCCCTTCGGAACTGCCCCCAATGCCGGGGGAGCCGGGGGGGGAGAGCCGGCGAGGCCTCCAGGCGCCCCCGCCCCCCAGGCGCTGCTCTCACCTCTTCCCTCCGGGCGGGGCCCCCGAGCCGGGGCTCCCTTGGCGTTCGCGGCGGGCGGCCAGCGGCGGCGGTCAGCGAGCGCGGAGCGCGGTCAGGGTGGGGCGGTAGCGGGCCAGCGGGGACCGCCCCCGGGACGGACAAGGGGCGCCTGGAGACCCCCCGCCCCCTCCTCGCGCCGGCCCGCCCCCTCCGCCCTCCGGAAGGCGAGGCGCCCCCGCCGAGCATCAGCCCGGCTCCCTCCCGCGGTCCCCAACCCCCTTCGCCCCCAGCAGAACCCGCCGTCCCTCCCCAGATCGCCAGGGCCCCCTCCCCACTTCCGCAGTTGCCCCAAAGGGGAGAGCGAGGGGAAGAGTCAAAGGGGGGCTCGTGCCAAAGGCCCCTCTAGCTGCAAGGCTCCCACCAAGGCTTTCCCTTTGAGGAGGGGCAGGAAGACCCTTGCTCTGCACCCCCTCTATCCGGCGTATGCTGATCTCAATGGCACGAGAACAATTGGACCCCCTATACCCTTTCCTGAATGCCCCCCCCATAGAAGGCAAGGGGCATCAAGTACAGAAGTCCTTGGCATAAACTCTCCTTGCGGCAAGGAGGCTCTGGCCCATAGCTGGGGAGGGTCCGAGGGCCCCCTTGCTGGAAAACCTCCACTGAAGAGCAGTTTCCAAGATCTCCCAACTGGTGGGCAGCTGCAGGTGTGCTTGGACACAGCCAAGGACCCCTGAGGCACTCAGCCTGTTCCTGAGGAAGGGGCTTTCGGTTGGAAAGGATTCTGGGGGGGCCGTCATGCTTTGTCCTGGCACTTCCAAATCCAGTTAAACATTCCTCAAGCTTCCAAAGCGGATTTATTTTTAAACTTATCAAGTGTGGCCTCCGCTCTGGGCCGGTTGCCACCACTGGGGGCTACACACGGACCCCAGTCTGCAAGCCTTTATCCTTCAGCCCCTGCTGGAACCAATGAAGTGTTCCACGTTCCGTGCCATCAGATGGAGACCGTAAACTGGATTCTACGCCTGTAAGAAAGCACCCTAGCAATTTGCTCCCAGTCGCTCTGTGGTATGTTCACACGCCATGACTAGCCAGGTCAATTGCAAGCTCCTGCTTAGTTAATTTTGTCTTGATTGCTTTTTATTTTGGCTTCAGCTTGTGTGAATCCAGCATGTTATAAATATGGATTAAGTCGATAGCCATGCAACATGCGCTGTAGGAACCTGTTCTCGTATATCCCTCAG